CTTTTCTGCTCCACCTTTTGCTTTTGTTGTTATTGTTCACCTTCCTATTGATTTTTCCAAATGATGAATACGTTGCTCTTAACCCTTTGCAACGAGTTGTGAACTAAGCTTGGTTGTCAGAGTATGATATATCTGATGTTTTATCTGAGCTATGCATAAGGGGAAGATGCTTTAATGCAACAGATGTTTAAATTGAAAAAGGCTTTCCCAATTGAAGCGTGAAAGAGATAGTAGAACACGAGGCTTAAGCTTATGCATGGTGCTCCCCCCAAGGAGCCCTGTTATCAGGTTGAATGAGTATAACAAACTGACAGAGAATGATGACCTACTTACTCATAGACATGAGCAGCAAAGATGTGGAGTTTTTGACAGCACTCAGGAATCCGATTGTACTTGCTTTATTAATATCACTAGTGCTGATATGCATTGTTCTTGTCATGGTGTTGATAACAATTTTGAGCAAACCTCGTTATTGCCACCAAAATCAAAGGACGCAGGATGAATCTGAGATTGATATAGAGGGCAACATACCAGCTACAAGAAGTAACAAGAGGAATGCCAAGGCACAAGTGACCTGCGTCGCAAAATCGAACTTGTTATTGGATATGGAGGTATTGTCCCACAGTGATTGCGAACCAAGTGATCTCAATTAATGAGTTGCCAATAATCGGATCCTTGTGTGTGCGCAAGGATTTCTGGGAGCCACGGGGCAAACAATATATGGCGAAAGGTGGCTTTCACGTCCAAAAAACTATTTTGGAGAGAGATCAAGGCTTTTTCGCCACAGTTTTATTATAAATGGATTAACCCTTTAACTCCCATGAGTGACCGAGACAGAATTTCCCCCAACAATATCAACCAGACAAGCGATATGAATAAAGAAAAATATCAATTTGGGGATAATTATTTGATCCAATACTAAGTTCTCTGAACTAATATTATAAAAATTGTATGATTGACAGTACGGAGAGTTATAAATTTTATCGGGGAGTTAAAGGGTTAAGAGAATTTTGATACAAGCAAAGAGTAAGTTTTTGTGAGCATTGCCACGAAATATGTTATAAAATATACTGACTGGTAGCGTAAGGTCTATAATATAGTTGTGAAATTGTTATCCTGTGATGATCTTGACATATTGCAAAATTAGCCTTAAGTAGCACAGATATAACTCACTCTCACTAAAGTGATGGGGAGCTGTGGTTTTAGATCCCTTACACTTTCCGTGTGGATCTATCACTGCTTTTCTGAAGGCACAGTGCACAGGTTATGAGTATCAAATCTGACTATTTATGGGAAATCAGCTGAAACTAAAACTCATGTCAAGGTTCTCCTGTAGGGAGTAGGCAACATTGGCATGCATATTCTCCATACTATTCCCTATACATTCCCTAATGTTCTGATGAGGAGAATTTGTTTCATAATCCAGCGTCGTTCTGGTTGATAACCATTTCCTTTATTCTCATTACCTGAATGTTTGATTCAAGGGTGAAATTGTAAGGAGAAATTATATGCTAGTCACTCCTAGGGGTGAAAGAGTTATGGTTTTCATACAGTCATACATGCAGTTAATATCATCGCACATACAAAATGAAAAAGTCAAGTTGGTGAATTAAAATCATGTTATCCTATGACTATCTAAAGATGACTTGATTTTAGCTTTTCAAACAATGGTTGGCCTTGTCAACAATACTTCTGATGTAACGCAAATATCATGTAAATAGAGACTGTTTCTTTCTGAGAAATTCCACATATACTTAGGCATAACAAGCCAAATTGGACATTGCATATAGCTGATGTAAGAAAGGATTTCTGAACAAGCTGAACTTACTTAAAAGAAGCTATTTTTTACCAATAAATTAGCTTGCTGATCTTTACTTCAAAGTCATACTATCCTCAGTGACCTAAACCCTTCCTGCCTGGGGAAGTTAATCGAGTAAGGAACAATTTCATGGTTAAGAAGAATTACAAATAGGAGCTGCTAAGATTATTTATAATCTTTCTCGTGAACAATTTATTGGTGATGAAATAGTAGATAAAGTAGGCTGGTACATTCTTTCCATAATGTATACCTTAAAATTAATGAAGTTTGTTTAAAAGGCTTGTAACAACTTAGTTCCTAAGTGCATGGATAGTATTTTGCTCAAGTGCGTTGATAATCCTTTTGGCTTAGGTCAAGAAATAAACATCACGTAACAGTTTCACATTTTTACACAGAGTACATGAAGCAATCAATTAATAGTAGAAGTTCAATATTATGGAACAGAGTGATAGCTTTTTACATATATTCTAAGAGTATAAAACATTTCTGTAAACTTTTAACTAAGTCCTGTGATTTCTTATATTTTAATTTTGATGGTTTTAACTGAACGATGTTAACCAAAGTATGATATGTATTTGTATTCTTGAGATATGGTTGAGTCAATCTTAATATGATATTGAAATATGGTATTGGGATTGATTGACTTAACCATCAGACTCTGTTGGGCAGTTTTCCTGAGTTTGATAAATATCAGTAGAAATCAATAAACTATTGGTTTTTGCTGGTGTCTATTAGATTCGGAGTGACTGCTTAGCAGTGTCTGAGATATACATTGCTTTGAAATAAGTTGTTTATTTTTTTTAAATTTTAGATAAATTGATAATTATTATTTTAATATTAGTTATGTTGTATTAATTTTGTTGTAACACAACCCCATAAGCCTCTGGCTTCAAACATCTATTGTATTTTAAAGTTATTATTATTATTATTATTATTATTATCATTAGAGTATTACATGAGGAACTTCCGTAAATCTAGTTGTTTTCTTCAAGTCTGAAATGAATTTCAAGTCAAATTCATCTTAAACTGATTTGATTTTGTAAATAAATCCACAACCAAAGAAAATACAAATCAGTCTAGTTTAAAATTTGTTTACCTGGAATTCATTCAAACCATAACATTGTAAATGAATTCAAGCTTACTTCACATACATAAGCTGTCCCTCTGGCAGGTGGTATTTTTCCAAGATCCTACCAGCTAGATGAACAAGACTACAAAGCATAAAAATACACCTAATAGTATAGATTGACTCCACAGCTGTACAAGACTAACACGGAATGTGGAAAGGTTTCCCTAAATCAAAAAGTAAATTAAATCAGCTTAATTCACCATAAATGGAAGCTGTACCTTTAGCCTGTGGTATTTTCTAAGCCACCAAAGATCCTACAGGCTAGAGGTACATGACCAAGGAAGAAGAAGATGTTCGTGGAAAACGTGATTCTAATGAATTGCGAGACTTAAACAGAATTCCAAAGGGTCAAATCTAAAGCAAACTGTAACAAAAAATTGGGCAAAGTCAATTAAATATGCAAGCTGTACCTCTGGTATTTTCTAAGCCTCTTAAAATCATACCAGTTAGAGCCTACAAGACTAAATAAAAGAAAACTAAATGTAAAGATATTCATGAAAAAAGTTATCCAAAGGAGTGTATGACTACAATGGAGTGCAGAAAAGCAAAATGCGGAGCAAACCGTCGTAAATGTTGGGCGAAGTAAACCAAATATGCAAGCCGTACCTCTTAACAAAACTAAAAGTAAATGTATTTATTAAAAAAGTGATTCCGAGGATTGAAAGACTGATTTAAAAAATTGGGCAAAGTCTACTAAATATGCAAGCTGTATCTCTGGGTGGTAGTATTTCCTTGAACCCTTGAGATCCTACAAGCTAAAGGTGAAAGACAATGGAAATTTCATCTTGGGAATCTTTTTAACTAGTAGTTCAATGAAAAGGGTATTATGGTGGCGATTCTTTTCATAAGTTTTGTGTACCTTTACAAGCGTAGGTCCTAGCGTCTACTATGTTAGGCTAAAACTATGCTGAACAAGAAATTTAAAATCGACGAAGTTGATGGAAATAGCCAAACACAGTTTAGCGAAATTTCCTTGATTTACACTCTACAATGAATTCTCTACATGTAAAGCAACTAATGTTGTTCACGTCTGGTTCAACACGTCACTTGACTATTGGTAGATTGCAAGTGGCGTTACCGGGATAGTCCGCCATATTGGAATGGTAACCTCATTACTAGTGCTCCTCGAGGGTCTACCGGAAAAACTGGATTAAGGATCACCGAATCAAGGATCAAGAATCACCGGATCACTGGATCAAGGATCAGTTCAAAATGAATCAAATAAATTAATGAATTAATGGGCATGATTGATTGCTCATCTACGTGACTTAGTCAAGATATCCCGTATGATAAAGCGAAAATAAGAGAAAATACTAAATACTGAAAAAGCCATACCACTTTGTGGAAGTGTCAATTTTCGCCTACCGACTATTAGGACTGCTATTGAAGACGGACAGCTAAAGAGCAGAAAATTTAGTCCCACACTTTTGATCACTTCCGACAAAATAAAGGACCTTGAAGTTTGCCGATTCTCTGTTTCTAGATAACTTTAACAGGGGAACCGCACTAACGGTTAAGCGTGGTGCGCAAAAGCAGAGGTGCTTAATTAATCTGCAAGTATTTTCGCTTATCTGGTTGATATTGTATGGGAGTTAAAGGGTTAAAGCAGCTGAAAAATTGCTGTTCACTCCGGCAGTCACCAAAAACGGCTTCGTGTTTTGCACCGGAAGTTAGAGACGTAATCTCATACTGACACTCGGGATAAATATAGCATATGCACAATTAATCCCGCTCTGTAGCTGTCAGTCTTCAATAGCAGTGCTAATAGTCGGTAGGCGAAAATTGACACTTCCAAAAAGTAGTATGGCTTTTTCATAATTTTTGGTATTTTCTCTTATTTTCGCTTTAGCATACGGGAGATCTTGACTGATTCACGTAGATGAGCAACTAATCATGCCTATTAATTCATTTAATTTCTTTGATACATTTTAAACTGATCCTTGATCCTTGATCCGGTGATCCGGTGATCCTTGATCTAGCTTTTCCAGGAAACCCTCTTCAAGCGTACCGCTAGCCTGACGGATCTTGGGCACGTTATTTTGTTATGTAATCATCAAATACGGCCGGTTGAGTAAACGATCGCTAGCTTATAACATTAGCTCGCCCTTAGAAGAAAATGTTGGTCCTGTCGACCTTTTCCTTTTTTATATGGTCCTCAACAAGAACCTGCCAAGGTATGTTATAGTCTACTGGTATGTTTATAATTTGAATGAAGACCTGTGATGTCTAAACTGGCGCGGCATTAATAAATCAATACACGATCGGTAGAACTAATCGCACGTGTCATAGATGAAGGTCATCCAAAGCCTGATTATAAATTTGACGATATCAAATGCTTGCGAGATCAAACATACATTCTCCCCCTATCGAGTTCGCCCCTTCGAGTTCGCGGCGGTTACTCATCGTCTCTCTTTGCACTCGTAACGGCCTCCGACCAAAAGTGATTTCGTAAAAAGACGCTTCAAACGGCCTACGAAGGCTAAAATTATCACAGATGTGTCGATTAGCATTTCGTTGAACCTTTCTGAGATATTCAAACCGAGATGTAACTTAGATGTGCAATTTTCAGAGCTTTATTCCTAACCCTCATAGATTTTGTTCGTCTCTTATCAACAATTATTAATCACAATCACATTGTGTGGTTTGCCCGTGATTGAATTGGCACGCGATATTTGACGTAATAGATGGCCTACAGTGCAAGCGCTTATCAGATCGAGCAAACCATGCGAGCTAGCGTTGTAATTTCGCGTTCGTTCATTCGACTGGCAACGTTTGATTTAGCCATGTTTGATTTGGAGTCAGAGTAGGTGGGGCTGGGGGCGGGGAGAGGCGTTATCTTCATTTCTATTCCCACCCTCTCCTTATTTTTGACCGTGGACCGCCCCCTTAGTACAAATTTCTTTCCCCCCAGCCTTCCGCTGCCATTACAATCAAAGATGGTGGCCACAATTTTCGTTACTGACCCACTGGCTCGCCAAAATTACGCCTGCTCTACATGATACCTAATAGAGTGATTTCGCAAGAGGACGGGAACGTCATTTCAGAATGGAAGAGCGCGGGGATAGTGCGAATAGTGCTGACATCTAGTGGTACGAAACAAAATGACAGTGATACAAATCATAGAAAATAATTATTTAGTGGGCTTCAAAATTTGATAGAGAGTGGAATAATTTCAATCTTAATCACCCATGTGGATTCTTATCAATAGCTTACTAAAAGTAACTCCCTTTTTATGCGGTTTGATCTGAATTAACTTAACAGTTATGATGTTGAAATAAAAAATTGAAAAACAAAGTGTATTACCCTTTGTTTGATAGGTGCTGAGGTTACAGTACAAATTAACCAGACAATCGTGCTAGCATGCTCTGCAGCAAATAATTCAGAAAATGTGGAACATATCGGTTGGTACCGCTGCCGTACTGCTGATTGCGAATCCAAATGGGACAACTCCCGGATAGCTCGTGTTGAACGAATGAGAGAGCCATTTGTTGATAACACTGACTTTGACATTTACGTAAATGGAACATTAGTTATCAAGAGGATAAAAGCTGTGGATGATGGAAAAATTTTTATCTGTAAAGCCAAAAGAAACCTGACAGGGGTGGAAACGTCCACCACGATCCTCAAAATAGCCAAAGGTGATGTTTATATGAGTGTTATACAATGATGATAATAGTAATAATAGTAATAGTATTCATGATAAAAGTGTTCGGAATTTAGCAGTGGACAATCCACGTGGTGACTTTTGTTGTCCACAGTTTCCAGGTCGAAATGAAATTTGGGATATTGTTTTTTTGAGGGGGAGGGATAATTGGAGAATGCGGAGAAAAATATATGGAGCAAGGATGAGAAGCAACCCACGCGTGACGCCAGTGGTCCATTTATTAAGGGTACCTGTTATTTAACATGCCCTTAAAATGTTCTGTTTTCATTTACGTTTCTTTTAGTGTTCTTCGTGTTGTTTTTCACTCTTTTTTTTTTTTTGCTTCTATGTTTTTCTCTTATTTTCTTTTTTTTTGGTTTTGGTTTTGTTTCGTTTTGTTTGTTTGTTTGTTTTTTTGTTTTTTTTTTTTCATTTTCTTACCTAAACCTACTACTATTATAGAGAAAAGCCACACACTTACTCAGACGCTTCCAAAATGTTTTCCCTCTGTATCTAGGTAAGCCAGTGACAACGACCACAGCATCAGGTAGGTTCTCCCACTCTTTAACCTTTTCAGATGACCCAAAAGGACTGAACAGGGTTCTGAGAACCCCTCAAGTTCCATGTTTGTAAACTAGCAACCAGTCTGAGATATATATTTTTTATCTCCTTCAAAAGGGATTGGTCTTCACTTATTTTCTTTAAAACAATCAGTTGCTAAATGTGGCCAAGTTCAAAGAACATTGAAGGCGAAGGCAACAATGGTCTTGCTCCTGCGCAAGAATATAGATCTTGTTTGATTTTTGCATCTAAAAACAAAGAATCTTAGAGCAGCATTGAGTATTCTTCCAGTGGATGTGAGAATACATGCACTTATTTTTTGCTTTAAATAATATCAAAGCATAAGCTTTCAGCAAGTGCTACATCAGGTATTTGCCGTGTCATCAAAAAAGGAGGAAATAGTCAGAGGCAAGAGTCTGCCTGTGCCCAATTTCAAGCAATGTTTGCTATACAAAAGTCAAAATTGCCTTTGACTGAATATCAGATACATTGAAAGTATAAAATGAGCCAAGTAACCCAATGAGAGCATCATAATTTTTTTTCTCTTGTGGGAGCTGAAGAATTACACTACCCTTTGTTACTATTTACAGGAGATCAATGTCGTGAAGATCTCCAACAATTACAATTTGTGGCTGGACATAATTTCTGATTGCTGAATCATCAACAATAAAAACAAATTTTACAACCAGTCTGCCATTTTCAGTTGATCCCTTTCTCTTTATTTCATTTTATTACACTCAGGTTATATAAATGTATTTTTGTTGTTTTTTTCCCTTTTCTAATCTAAACCAACTGCTATTTTACAGAAAAGCTACACACTTACTTAGACACTTCCAAATTTTTTTCCCCTTTGTATCTAGTTCAGCCAGTGACGACAACTGCAGCACCAGGTAGAAGTCTGAAATATGTATTTTTTTATCTCCCTTGAAAGGGACTGTTATTCATCAATTTTCTTAAAGACAATCAATTGCTAAAGGTGGTTAAGTTCAAAGAAAAGTGGACAGCAAAATCTTCTCAAAAATCTATCACTTGGCTTGTAGATATGAAATTTCTGTTCTCGCATCGAACTAGATATCTTACTCATGAGCTATCGCGTTAAGAACTTGAAGAGAACTTCATTATGACACAGCTCCAGACTTAATTCATGTGGCAATTTACCAGAGAGTATCAACACAATGGTCACTGAGGTAGCCAGAATATGGGATGCTTATTGGGTGGTTTTCCTTCCCAACTCATGATTGCAATAATGAGTGAAACAAACACTGGGTAGCTAACATTTACAGCTCATACAGTAGTCTTCACGGTGTTTTATTTATTTGCAACGGAGCCCTCTTCTCTTCAGTTAAATAAATTATTTACCCATTGTTCAAGGATTATTGCACATTGCAAACAATGGCTGAGGTATCTATTGTTTTTTTTTTTTGTTTTTTTTTTCTGCATTTAGGCATCCCAGGCCGTTCCTCACCACTACCAGGTAAACACTGCAATCCGTACTTTTTCTCCTTGCTGTAATTCCTCCTCTTCTCTCTTTCTTCTCTTCCCTACTCACTCCCCCCTCTCTTCTTTGGAGGATCAACCCATGACTAATTTAATGTTAATCGTGTGTTGCATTGGTAGTGATTCCTTGAATAAAGGCCTTACATTTTCTTTCCACCTGTTCAATGTGCTACAATCCTCTCTTTTTAATTTATCTTATTTTTGTTTTGTTTGTTTGTTTGTTCTTTCCTACTCAGATACCCCAACTTCTTTGTCTTCATCTTGTCCAGGTTTGTATACTGTTGAAACTAAGCGAGTATTGTTTTAGCCTTCTTGTGTTATTCTTACTTTTTGCTTCATCTCATTTTTCTCATATCTTTTTGTTGCTTTTGGTGTTTTTTCCTGTTCTGAGGTGTGATAAGATATCTTTTACAAGCAATATTTGACAGCTAAGTCCATCAGCGGCATTTGTGAATCATTACTTTGGTAACTTCTCTCTCCCATTTATGCTCCCATTCATGTTCCTATTTATGCTTGGGAGCTTCATGTCATTGAAGGAATGGACCTTCATTTGGATGCTCGAGTTCGGGGCTATCCTTACCCCTGGGAAACCTGGCGCCATTCTGAGGTTCTCCTTCAGAATACATCAAATTTCGATTCAGAAACAAGGTTTTAAGAAAAAATGTCACTTTATCTGATGGCTGACTTTACACCTGCTATGCCAAGAATTCATTTGAACATGTTATCTTAACTGTAAAGGTTTACATTAAAGGTACTGTCGTGAAAGAGAGAAACAGAGCAAGTTTGCTGTTTTTGGTCTATTAATTTCTTTTAGTGTTCTTCGTGTTGTTTTTTACTTTTTTTGTTTTTTTTGTTTTGCTTCTTTGTTTTTCTCTTATTTTCTTCTGTCTTGGTTTTGGTTTTGTTGCTTTGTTTTTTTAGTTTTGTTTCGTTTTGTTTTTTTTCATTTTCTTATCTAAACCTGCTGCTATCTTAGAGAAAAGCTACACACCAGTAGTTCTCGACTACTTCATTTAATTATCCGAAAGCTTTCTCCTGTACATTGCTGAATGTACTCCTCTAAGTGTAACTCGAACAAATTCAAAGACTATGATTTTATAGTTATTAAGAATCTTTATTGTGGTATAAAACAGACAAACTTTTAAACATCATATGAAAGAATAGAACAATATACATACATATTTAACTTTAATTCAACCATTAATTTTTCTAAAATATATCTCTTCACTAAATCAGTATACTTCTTAACAGTGCAAGCATTGCCAGAAATTACACCCAAGAGACACTTGTGAGTAAAGCTTCTCTTTTCAATGACTCAGCAAATGTGATAATGCGAGGCAGCTTATAATCAAGACTGATTTAATTTTTTAAAGTACAAAAAATTATCAAAATAACTCAAAGGCAACAAATGGTCCAGCTCCTGAACAGAAATATAGATATTGTTTGATTTTTGCGTCTGAAAAACAAAGAATATTAGAGCAGCATTGAGTATTCTTTCAGTGGATGTGAGAATACATGCACTCATATTGCTACTTTAGATATTATCAAAACATAAGCTTTCAGTGAGTACTACATCAGGTGTTTGCACAGTTATTGAAAAAGGAGGAAACAATAGCAAGAGTCTACCTGTAGCAAATTTCAAGCAATTCTTGCTCTACAAAAGTAAAAATTGCCTTTGACTTATTAAAGGATACATTGAAAGTATAAAATGAGCCAAGTAACCCAGTGAGAGCCCACAGTTTTTTTCTTGTGGGAGCTGAAAAATTACACCTCCCTCTATATACAGTATACTATATACAGGAGATCGATGTCATGAAAATCTCCAACAATTACAATTTGTGACTGGACATAATCTCAGATTGCTGAATCAACACCAGCAATTAAAAGAAAAATTGAAAACCATATCAAAAACGAGCCAAAGTGCAGAAAGAGCATGTAGCCAGTCAAACTTGCCAGCTAGTCTGCCATTCTTAGTTGGTCTCTTTCCCCTAATGTCGTTTTATTTTACACACACAAAATATATTAATAGGACATTTTTTCTAAAACTTTAAGGTAAAAAAAGTATAAATGGAAGTGGAAATTTAGCTCAATGCTTTTCATTTGTCTTCCCTTCATGGCTTGTGGGGTGTACAACCATCGAAAAATAAGAGTCAACAATTCCATGTGCAATGTTTATCTAATGGTTTGACCACAGAAATTTTAAAAAACCTGCTAAATCAAAAAGCTGGAAAAAAGAAGGCAAAACTAAATACAACCTAAGGTACTTGAACCTTTGTATCTGGACTTCATAAGGAAATGGGTAATTTAAGTATTCTGAAGTATTTTTGCACCAAAGTAGCAGTTTTTTAGACTCCTTCTGTACCTCCAAAATGGTCACAATTTCATTCAATGCATTTGTGATGGCAAATACACAAGAACAAAGGTGATGAACTTAAATGATCAGAGTGATCATTCTCAACGCTTTTAGTTTAAGGCAAGAAATTCAGCACCACAAAATTGTTTATTTTCACTACAAGCAGAAGAAGCAAAGCAATAGATTTTTTAGCTTCGCGAATCCATTCAGTTTCCATCGCAATACACTTGGTACAGTTAAGTCCGTTCGCGTCTTGACTCCAAGTAGACCCAGTGCAACCTGGTGCGATACAATGTGCTGTATCGTTACAAAGAGCCGACTACTGGCGCAAGTGTCAAGTGACAAAATATTTTTCTCGATTTGCGAAAATTTTCTGGATTTTGAAAAGATTCTTGGATTGTAAACTAATTTCGATTTTCATGAAAGTTATTTGTGGATCTATGAATGAATCCAGGATTTGAAATTGTTTTCTCGAGTTGACAAACTTTTCAAAAGCTATTTGTCTAAAGGATATCGATTTTTAATATTTTTCGGATTTTCCAAATATTTTTGGATTGTCCCTTCTCGGTATCCGTAAAGAACTCGTGTCTTCTCTAGGTTCATTGTTCATTGCAATTAATTTCTTGAATTTAAGACGCTCTTTTATGATAGGGTAGGACTACTTTAGTTCCTCTGCATCTTGGGCAATGGCAAGGAGGTCTTGGCCATCAAAACCGTCCTTTTTCTGAAATATAACATGCGAACAAAGATCAATGGAGCGGTCAAGTTTGTGTTTATAAAGTTGTAAAGGAAATTTCTTCAGCCTACCTATCCTTTCTTAAGTTTCAGGAGAAAATAAATGTGACTGGAGCCAAGAAAAAACCTCTCAGTGATGAATTCGCTGCTATTATTCATTATTGCATCCGATGCACGCGGTCAAGGTCCAACTAATGTGATACGCAGAAGGAGCTGCAAAGATGCACTAACAAAAAAAGGATGATTTTTGGAGATGAGTCGCTTTTATAACAAACTAAGCTCCTTACGCTTTATCTCGTCAGGGGTTTTTGTGGTTTCTTTTTCACAGACACTCAGTTGGAGGATATTATAGACGTAGGTTACAAGTTTTTATTTGTTTCATATTATTTTTACTTTTTTAGATATCCAAAGTTCCTCAGTTTCACCTTCCTCAAGTAAGTATACGTCTGTTCCTTTCTTTTCTTTAAATGAGTTGCTCACCTTTTTTTTTTTTTTTTTTTTTGTATAATAGTCTAGCATCTTACTACAACAACCTAGATGATGCAGGCCTCTTGAGCCCGTGCTTATCGCTTCCCCCGGTATAAACACCGCTGCTACTTAGCAAGGATCTTTGTTTAAGCTTTCAAAAGGTCCTTTATGTTTTTTTCTTGTTTTTTTTTGTCAGCTAAGATGCAATAAGACATTTTTTTTCTAAAGGTAAATGGCCGGAAAAAGTGGTTTTTTTTTTTGTAATTTTTTTGTTTGTATGTAGGCTTTTTTATCATCCCCGTGAAACCATTTTGCGCAAAATTGGGATTAATTCATTCTTACAACAAGGAAAATAGGGCCATAGCGATTTATGTAACAAACACTTAAATCAGTAAAAGCTTTCAGGATCGTCGGGAGATGAAATCGTGAATTTCTGTAACTAGCTCAGTCTTTTCTGTTGGTGTTTAACTAAGCGAAAAAACATTTTCACCGATAAGAGTGGTCCACATATGTTCCTTCCCTATTCACACAAAACATTAAGCCACAATAAAATGTCGGCCTTTCAATATGCACTGGGTTTGGTGGTCTCTGTGATATACAGTATTACATAGTGCATATACTTTGTGTAATAGTCCATGACTGAAAAGAAAAATATTAACTGTTCATTCCTAGGAAAGGAAGATCTGGATTTTGAGACAGCCTTCAAAAAAGTCGCCCCTCTGATCTTTTCCTTAACTGCACTTCTAGTAATTGCTGTTACAATCATTATTTATCTGGTTGTGAAGATCAAGAAGAATAAGAGGCATGGTTATTCCCATAACCATGGTTGTAGATTTGAAGGTGGCGATGACAATCAACATGCCCCAGAAGATACCATTGTATTTAAACTAGGAGATTGCCCGAATGAAGAGGACGGAGCAGAAGAACTATGATGTACTTAAGATCTAAACATTGATTTTTCGGATCAGTATCAGTACCTGGGCAACTGCCCACCTACCTCTCCCCTAACTCAGCGTTGGGTTAGGGGAGGGGTAGGTGGGCAGTTGCCCAAATACTGATATTGGTCCGATTTTTCTACTATTATGTCATTTCACCATATTAGGGCAACGGAACGAGCAGAAAAATGCCACGGTGTTCTATTGTAGAACAGGGCACCAATACGAACCGAAACGGTTCGCTCGATCTTTAATTTCCTTTTTTTCAGCAGCAAGCTTCCAAGCCCAGAAGGATTTTTTATGTCATCAGGAACACATAAATGGCTTCATTTGTGTTGTTTTATTCTTTCGCTTGTTCCTTGTGCGATCAGTACGGTGCTCAGATAAGACTATACGAGGTTTTGAAAACTAGAAGCCAAAAGACATCCTTTCTTCGATGGTTTAACATATAAAGCGAGCTGACATTTTTCTCAGTGCTCGTACTTTTCCTCGCTCCTTCGGGCTCGGAAAAATACTACACAACTCGCAAAGTATTTGCGCGTCTTGCATGTTATATATTGACCATGCACATTTTAAGGATGGGCACTTTGCGATGTTGTTTATACCTCGGTTAAACAGGGCAGACAAGTGAACTTTGTGTTCAATGCATTTTTTATGCCCTAAAGTAGGCTGTACCTCAAAATGTCACGGTAATACAAATGTATGGTTTTCACTACCCTTCCAATGTAGATCGAAGGGAAATTTAAGTTATTAATCAAGTTAAATTATCCTACTACGTAGTCCTCATTAATTTTATAGTGGTACTCGCCGACTTGGAAGCTTTTGCTCCCTTAGTCACTACTCACTTTTCTCTTACGGGGGCGTAGCCAGAATTTTGTAAAGCGGGGGTCACAATGTGTTAAACAGAGGATTCTCCCCAGTTTTTGCTACCTGAATATTGTTGGTTGTTTGCTTAAAAAAGGCTCACAAAAGGGGGGTCACAGACACTTAGGTCCCCCCCCCTTCCTCAGCTATGCAGTTGTCTCATCATTAAAGTCATTTTTTTATTTTCTTACTTTACATTTTTCTTTATTACTTTTTGTTTAATAATTGAAATTTATTTCGCTAAAATAAGTGTAATTAAATAAAAATTTACTACTGTCAGGGTAGGTGTGCAGGACAACAGCTATTTTAAAGAAAGGTCAAGTTTTTAAGAAAAAGAAAATCTCAATAAAAATGACTTACCTTGCAGTTGTGTGTTTTCCCCAACTGTCTCGTCGTCTCCTAAGCCATTTTAAAGCCTTTCAAGAAGAGCTCCCGACTAGAGAAAGATAAATCTCAAAATAGACGTTGTAACTTCAAATTCTAGCGAGAGCTGAGTTGCCGAACTCCCAAAACTCGTTTGTGCACTGTTTCTTAGTATGCAACAAGACCCCTTCCGGCCATAAAGATACTTACTTAATAAATATCTATATGAATATATTCAGATGCACCTTACAAGTTACAAACCCACCCAACCTAACCCAGGTAATCACACAGTAATCTCGTGCGTGGGAAATTAACGTCTCCTACCCCAAACCCTTAACGTCTTATCCGTGAAGACGAAGCAAGGTGAGTGAAGCGACTTGCTTAAGGCCACAACGTAATGCCCCATCCAGGACTCGAACCCGGGCCGTCCGACCCAGAGTCCAGCGCTCTGACCACTGGGCCACTCACGCCTCACGATAGGAGATAGGAGTTAGTTTATTAGATTGATACTGATGAAATACCAGGATTTTTCCTTTTACTAAAAAATCATATCTTCATCGCGCGCAGTGAAGATACTATTTTTATCTTTCACGTGTAAGGATATTGGTGTCGCCATGGTTACTACCATGATTAACCATTCACAAGAGAGCTTCCCCCTCAAGCGCGCGGACGGTTCTTTTGAAATTTCATCAGTATAAATAAAATAAACAGAACATTACATTGCCGCGCGGGGATACGAAGTTTATCTTTGAGTGCAGAAAGTATCTCTTCGCTTATCGTGAGAGATATCCTCTATATCTACTACTAAAACCAAGTTTGAAACAAGTTGTATTCACTATGAAAGAAGAACTGGAACATCTCACTCTAGCCTGATTTTACTGTGTTAGCAAGAAAAAAAAAACGTTCTAGAGGCAAGTCATTATTTATCTCTAGGGGAGGGGATGAGGTCCCAATTTTTTTTGGGGTGGGGAAGGATCACATGGTTTTCAAGGGAGCGGAAATAAAATCAGTTGCTTCCAACAGATTTTAAAGGGAGGAAATACAGAGAAAATCGACTACCGAAGCGGAGGGGATCATCAATTTACCACAGACCCTTACTGTAGGATCAGATAAATTTCCTCTTGATACAACTAAAATCCTCTAATACTTTATTTTTCTGAGCTTACCGTGTTGTCAAAGGTGTGTAATACTGTTAAAAATACAGTAGCGGTAGATTATAGGCTTCAGTTTAGAACCCAAGTCGGTTGACAAACATTTGCCATTTTTGTGAGCACTTCCCAGTGCAGATTAACCTCCAGGTCAGCTGCACAAAAAAATATCAATATTCTTTCATCGAACTTTCTTTTTCCGATCGTCGATCAAGAGAGGATTCTGAGAGAGAAACAGGACGTGTTCAATTAGATTTTATTTATCATTTTTTGTCCTTACATTTTCGACAGGAACTCGAAAATCATATGGGGACTCCTATGTCGCTATTACTTTACAGTGGTTAAAGACTTGCCCCTACTTTCACAATAACGCGAAGTTAACTTAAGGTGCACGAAGTATGTGATTTATCGAAATTTAGGTAATAGGTTGTTGTTCATCGTGGTAGCTGGATGATAATATAAATTTTGTTCTGTTGTCTCACGACAAAGTCACAAGATGTAGATCGCGACGTTTAGACTGCTTACTGTAAGTCTTCTTCAGGCAATAGGGTCGACTAGTTCCGGCACAGCATTAGGTATCATGATGGTCTGCTGCGATTGGTGCATTTCGATCTGGGTATTGTTTCCGTGTCATGGTTTCCATGAATTTACATCCCATTTTTCCCCCTTTCAATAGCGTAACGGTTTTTTTTAAGGATAACTATGGTATATTCTATCATGCACTTAAATCTTGTGCATGGATGTACCATGTATTATCTTGCGACTGTAGCCAATCAGGTTGAAGTGGTTTATAATCATCTATTGACCAAGACACATCTTAGTTACGTTGAGTAAGTGACATACCGAAGTCATGTTTGGCTTGTCGGTTGGATAACCTGGCACTAGTGGGTTGCACTTTCTGTATACTCGTGGGAGAACAAGCACGTTTACTCTGTTGTGCTGAATCCTTGAAAGATAACGGGCTTTTTTCCGTGTTAAAAAATTGTTGTCATGATTTCCGCATGAATATTTTTTCATGAGCGTTTTTGTCACGCGTGGTAATTAACACCGTAAGACGCTCAGCGCCAGTATTGAATGAAACGATGCATTTTATTTCCTCCCTTCCATTCTGCCACTAGGAATACATAAGCCCTAAGTCTACTCCCCTAAGTTCAAATTGACATGATCTTATATGCATATGCATTCCGGGGAAATGCAAAGAACTTTTGATTACAGTAAACAGCAAACTGCGAGTGTATCATAGAATAATTATTTTCACACCCAGAATTGTTAAGTTTTTGCCCTTTTCTCAGCATTCACTGTCCTTTTTAACAATCTATTTTGTGCCTTGCAGATGAGCAGGGAGGTTGACTGGCCGAGAAGAGGATGCCAATTAAATGACCATCTGGGCGTTTTTGCCATTCCTGGTACTCGCAAGGGAGTTTATAATCTAGGAACGACGCACTTATCGAACTATAAAAATACTTCATATACAGTTTCCGTATAAAATATTCTAGTTCGACCTCAAATCTTTTATGGGATGGTTCGACGTCTGTTAGTTGCATTCATGCGTTTCAATCGTTTCGACCGTAATAAAGAGATTACTGCGTTTCCGAAGGAAAACACCGTTTTGAAATTTCGCCAGCCTAACGTGATCGCGCCAAAGTCTCGTGCAAACATTACCCCCGTTAACCAATAAAACGAATTGATGAAATTCATTAAGGATGACAATTTCCTGTTGAGTAATCCCTGCTTCAATAGAAAACATACAAAGACCTTGTCTGCTTCTTGTTTGAAGATAATTATGACATGAATAGGTCAATAGAACCACAACTATATGACACACACGTATCTTTATCATCGCTATAAAATGAATAAACAACCAGATTTAAAAAAAAAGATTTCTAGATAGGTTAAAACATGTAGATTCGTCCCTGAGAAAAACATTTTCCGATCTCTTATTCCGTAAAATGGTCACTTCACTTAAAATACAAGACGATGTTCTGTGACCTTTTTTGTTGACGTCATTGCTAAATATTGAACCTGACCAAGTCATTAAATTCACTTTTCCAGTCAACTCGCAATCGTGATCGACTATCAATTGTTCGCCGAATCGACGTTGATTTAATTTGTAGTGGAGTTTCGACTTGATATGTACATTTCTTTGAGAATAATTCTTCTATACTTCTTCTTTTCATCGGGCTCAATACTAAAATCCAAAGGTATGTTACTAGAGCACTTATTTTATAAAACCCCAGAATCTACTCACCGACCGGCAGATGTGTGAGTCACTTGTAACTATGGCGGCGGATAAACTATTTCGCAGCCGGAGAAATCGCAATAAGGACATGTTTGTCTGCTGATGTGGAATCTTTCTCGCTTTCGGAATGAATTGAAATTTAAAACTCGTTACTTTTGATCCGCAGGTGATTTTGTATAATTCGGGAATCTCAGTTAGATTTCCATTTCCATAGTCTTACGTAGTGTTAGTGAATGCGGTGCGCGCGATAAAGAACTCACTTGTGGAACTTACATTTCATCATGATTAGCTATTAAAAAAAAAACTCTCTCGCTCCGTGAAATATATAGCATTCTTTGGCGTTATTAACAGGTACTACTGTAACAAATATTTGAGCTGGTGATCGGAGTTGACCAAAGAAAGCCGCTTTAATATTATGCGAGTCTTTGGATGTAAATAATTCAGAGCAACAAGTTCTTTGGTGGCCTTTTCGATACTTCTGTCGGTGCAGAAGGAATTGTCGTGTATTCATCACTTAGGCCCAGTTCAGACGCCGTACTTCAGCCGAGCCGAATCAAATTCCACGAATTAAGTTCATGTGAAGAACGGCGTCTGAATCAATTCGGAACGACTGATTTAATTTAGATCGGCTCAGTCAATTAATCCTGCCTGGCTGAGCTGGGAAGAACGGCTGTAGGCCGGCTTTGATTCAGACGCCGTACTTCAACTGAGCCCCACCAAATCCATAAATTATTTCAATGACGATTTACATTCTTTATCTTCTTGCTGTTTTCCAGCATTTTGAGCAGAAAAAAGTCCCATCCTTGCAGATTGCTGCCGGAATCCATGGCGTACACAATGTTTACAATCGTATGCTAAACCAGGGACCGAATATTAATTTTCTTCGATTAACTGATTTCTGCCGTATAAAGTTCGGCGTTTGAATCAATTTAGCCAGGATTAACTAATTTGGGTCGAACTATCGTTGAATTCGATTCAGCGCGGCTGAAGTACAGCGTCTGAACCGGGCCTTATCCAACCAAGCTTGGGTTAGCATTGCACTCGCCAGTTTAAATCTACTGTTAAACTCATGTTTTGACACCTTAAACGTCTTAGAGTGCACTCCATAGTATCAATTAAGTCACCAAATATGTAACAAGGTGCCTCAACATCAATACGTCATACGGTACGTCGATAAACTACTATAAAGCATTTGGGAAATTTTATTCACTTATTCAATGCGGCATATACCGATGGTGATTCAGTCAAGCAGATCGCGAGGGTGCCCTGTGTGCAGTAATTTTACGAAGCATGCATTAAAAAAAATAATATTAACAATTATGATAATAATGATGGTAACAAAAATTATAGCGAAAACCATCCTTGGAGACCCAAGGGCTGTGAGTCGTTTCAAGTCAGGGGCTCTTCCGCCCTAATGACGACAAGCTAAAATTCATTCCATATTTAAATCGAACGCTTCTAATCGGTCAGCGCGTAATTATATGCAAGTTTTTAAAAGGAAGCTCACCGAACACTCCTGAAAATCGGAAAAAAGGGAGGTACTGATAATGATAGTAAGAATGATATAAACAGTTATGATATTACAATGAGAATTTTAAAAAAATTATATTACCCTTTATTTGATAGTTGCTGAGGTTACAGTAAAAATACACGAGAGACGCTTGCTACCTTGCTCTGAGTCCAGTGATCTAGAAAATGTTGAGCATATCGGTTGGTTCCGCTGCTCCACGGCTGATTGCGAACTAAACTGGAACAAGCTCCGGATAGCGCATGTTCAAAATGTGGAAGAGACAATTGCCGATAACCCAAACTTTGACGTTTTCACCAACGGAACCTTACTTGTAAGGAAGGTACTACCAGTGGATGATGGGAAAATGTTTATTTGTAAAACCCAGAAGACCTTTGAAGGGACAGGAGGGTCCACCACGATCCTCAATATAAAGAAAGGTGATGTTTATATAGGTGTTATATAATGATGATAATGGTAATGATAACAATAATAATAGAAGTATTCATGATAATAACATTTGGAATTTAGCACTGGACAATCCACGTGGTGGCTTTTGTTGTCCACGGTTTACAGAAAGAAAGGACATTTGGAACGTAATTTTTCTGGGGGGTAAGGATAATTGGAGAACCCTCAGATAAAAATACGGAGCAAGGACGAGAAGCAACCGAAACCCACTCATGACGTCAGGGGTCCATTTATTGAGGGTCCCGGTAGCTTGACTTGCCTGTAAAATGTTCTGTTTAAAACAAGTTTACAATAAGACTGTTAGCTAAAGAAACAAATTGGACTGGTAAGTGTACCAGAACTTCCTTCTCTGTTCTTAAAAATTTTTATTTTAAAATATGGCTTTTGGCCCTTAAAGTTTCTGGGACTGAGAAACGGGCGCCACGTCGCCATCCCCACTTCTTTTTATAAATTCCTTGTAGTAGTTAGATAGTTTTGATTTTTTTTTTTAGAACCCCCAAAATTAATACCAGAGAGTCCTCTGGAGGTTCATGTCATTGAAGGAATGGATCTTCATATGGATGCTGGAGTTCAGGGCTATCCTTACCCCTGGGTAACTTGGAGCCATAATGACCTTCTCCTTCAGAATACTTCGAATGTCGATTCACAAACAAGTCTTAAAATTCGTAACGTCACTGTATCTAAAGGTGGACTTTACACTTGTTACGCCAAGAATTCAGTTGGACATCATATCCTCACCTTTAAAGTTTATGTTGAAGGTACTGATTTTATTTGTATGTTGGACAGCTTCGTGAGAGTAGATGTAACCTGTCAGGAGAGAGAAACGCAGTGAAATTTTGCTCTTTGTATTCTATTAATTTCATTTATTGTTCTTTGTGTTGTTTGTCACTTTTTTTGTTTGTTTGTTTTTTTTTTTTGTTTTTTTTGTTTTTGCTTGATTCCTCTTATTTCCTTCTGTTTTGTTTTGGTTTTTTTTTTTCGTCTAAACCTACTTCTATTTTAGCAAGAACCTATACACTTGCTCAGATGCTTCCAATTTGTTTCCCTCTCTATCTAGGTCAGGCGGTGAGGACAACTACAGGATTAGGTAGGTTCTTTCGCTCTTTAACCTTTTCAGATGACCTTAAAAGGATTGAACAAGGATCCGAGAACTGCTATGGCATATAATACAAATTTCTGACCTCTTTAAGATATGAACAGATGGTATAGTATAGAAGTTATTTACTTTGCCACACTGTTTCTATCCTTAGATATCCAAACTCCATCATCCTCACCAACATCGGGTGAGTACAATGTGTTCTTTTACAATTTTCTCAAGGTCAGTTTTGGAGCAAATTTTAACTGAGCGTGTCCAAACATATGTAGGATTGCATTGATTTTTATCAATTCTTTTTTTTTCGCAATTAAGAAGTTATTTACTTTACCACTCTGTCTCTAGCCTTAGATATCCAAACTCTGTCATCTTCAACAACATCAGGTAAGCACAATGTGTTCTTTTTCAATTTACTCAATGTCAGTTTTGGAGCAAATTTCAACTGTGTCCAAACTTATATAGGATCCCATTGATTTTTATCAATCCTTTTTTTCACGACCAAAATCTTTATTACTGGTATTTGTTTATCATCGAACTCAACTCTACTATGTCTTAAAGAATTTCACATACAATGATTCCTTCCGCTTCTCCCCTCACTCCCCTCCACTCCAATACGCCTCCTCATCCATATCCCTGCTCACATCCTCTCCCTCTCATAGGAAAACAAATTATGGTCGAACCTGCGTTAAGCGGTTACCCACGCGGAATGGCAGCATGACCGCTTCACACAGGTTGACTGCTGTGTAGGTTCCACAGAATAGGGGTATTAAGATAAACGATTAAAAAAGAGCCATTTTATGCCACAACTGACCACTTTATGTACAGACACTACCTCCTAAATACAATTGGATTTATTTGGGTGGTTCCGCTTTAATTGACCGTTCAATAAAGATGGAAGACGGTACAAAAAGGCCGTTGGGACGCAGACTTTTTTTTGTCATATAAAATATAACTTACAAGATTTTTTTTCGTGTAGAGCTCGCTTGGCCGCAGGAAGAGAATCTCTTAAGACTTTGAGACCTAATTAGGAGAATGAAACCTAGCTTAAAGAGAAACTGAGACTGAAAAATATTTGACGTTAAGTAAATGAAGAAACGAAGAAATGCAAGGTTTAAAGTGACTATGAATGCTCGGACTTTAATCCGTGATGAGTTATTAACTTAATTCCAATCAACTTAACTCCAATCTATGCTTTGAATGAAAATTTAAAGGGTTTCTTTCATTTTTCTTTCATTTTTTTTATTTATTTATTCGTGTTTTTTTAGGGGGCTCGAGTTTCGCTGGATGGAAAATTGCTCTAACAGTGGTCGGTCTTCTGTTGTTTTTGATGGGAACAATAGGAATCTTTTGCATTCTCAAGAAAAAGAGGATACCGGCAAAACTACAGTTATGCAGGCTGTGCCGGAGACGCAGATACATAGTATAACCGTAACGAACCGTTTTACTTCTATTTTCCAACTTTTTCGGAAAAGTGTGACATGCATTTTTTTACCCGTCTATATTAAGTAATCTGTTCATTAGCTCTCGTCAAGAGATTTTGAACTATTTGTATTCTCTGTCCTTGTCTTACATTATCCATTTTCACTAAGGAAAATACAAATAATGTGCGAATTAGGTGTAAATATGAATGGATAATTGGGCTTAGTGGACTGCAATTTCTATTGGTAATTGAACTGAGTGGAGTGCAGTTTGGTCTGAAATCATCGGTGTGATTTCATAAACTCGCAGCGCGAGTTTGATTGAAATCACAAGAATGATTTCATATCAAAATTACAAGACACGAAGTTTAATTACCACTCTATTACATCCATTTTGAAATAGCAAAATTCAGCGAGGCAATACAAGGTATTTTCATTCTGTTCAAATATTTTATTGATCCAGTATATTGAGCCGGTTTATAAAAAGTTGCAAAAGGTGTCATTTTCTCGCGATTTGATTGATTTTTTTGAACAGGCCTTGAAATTTGATTGATCGTCATGTTTTAGTAAAGCTGGGGAAAAAATGCCATTAAGAGCATAAAATGATGTAATTTGATAAAAAAAAATTACACTGGAAAGAGCCAAACAGATTGCAAGGATCACAAGTGATTTGAAAATGGATGCAATAAAGGCTGCAATTGGGCGAGGAGTTTCAAATTGGACAAGCGCATAGCGCGAGGCTAATTAGAAATCACGAGCACGATTAACCCTAATTTGAGCGAGAAACAGATGAAATCGAACTGATAGGACTTGAAAAAGCCATATTAGGGAGTGTTAGGAACCACTAAGAGAACATCAGTTTATAATCTCTTGGAACACATCAAATTCGAGCATATTAATGTTGCTGCCATGCGATGTAAGGAACACAGAGTCTCTGGGGGTATTTAAACGTAAGATCAATGACATTCTTTAAGTCTAACGCACGGCACTCACGGAAAACAGCTTTTAGTGTTATATTATATAGTTTGAATTTTAAATATTCTAGCGTATGTCATATGTATTTTTTAGGCCGTGAATTGACCGTGTTTAAATAAAAATAAAATGAAATAAAATGAAATGAAATGCCACCCGTTACCCGTTGCAGTGTTCGATTATTTGGACTGTTGGTATTTTTTACTCCAAAAAAAACTTGTTTAACAAGTTGAGTACGCTACGTTTGAAAATATAGCAAAGGAAAATGGAAAGCGGATTGTACCATTTTTAGTGAAGGGATCCCGAGATAACGTCAACCAAGGGGAAATAAAACAAGTCAGCGTCTAAAAAAGTAGACTGGTGGAGTTTTTTTTTTTTCTTTCTTTCTTTTTTTTTTTTTTTTTTTTTTTTGCTCAAACCTTGCACTCAGCGGTCTGTGGGCCAAGGGTCGGCTTTATTTTCGTTCCGTCAAACATCTCACTTACCTGTCAGTCTTTTAATCATAACATCATTATCTTTCGAATCATTCATCGAAGCATTCATCAGTCATAGATGGTGGAAAGCAAAAGCAATGATATGTTAGACGATCGCAAATACTACGACATTCAAGGGTACTACTCCTGATCACCCCATAAATATCGCGTCTGTCCGTGAAAATTAAAAGCAACTTAGGGCGGAAGGGGATAAAAACCCAGGAGAAACTGAAGAACAATTCTGTCAACTGTTTTGCTCTCGAGTTCGACCTCATTTCAAGGACAGGAAATGGGTCTAATTAGGGATCGAGGCTCAAGATTTAAAAATATCGCTGTTCACAGTAGCTGAGAGTAAGCCACCGACAAATTTTTTCGTATACCGACTGTTTGGTTGTTTTTTTTGGTTTTTTTATCAATTCTTTCGACAAACTTCGTTCCTTTTCCTTTGCAGTGGTCCACTAGGCTAGTCACGCAACGAGCTCATCGATTCGTGACAAGCGAAAAAGACGGCTACGAAAGAAATTAGCAAATCAAAACAGAGCTCCTGAGTTTATATTTTTGAACATCAATTACCATAACATTGTTACCTTGATATACCACTTAACTTCTCTTCTACGCTTTTCTCGGCACATGGATCGCTTTCCTATTGTCAAGTAAGCTGATATTTCAAGAACAAGACGGTGCGTGCTCTGTTGGTATTCATTTGTTTCTCGGAAAACAGATACGGCCGATTACGTCGAAACTGATATAGGTGAATGTCATTATTTTAAGGAAAGATCGTCACTTCACGAAGTTTAGGAGCATCAAGAATGAAGATTATCGGGTTTTACATCACATTCTTTATATGTTTCGTGCCAGCTCTAGTAACAGGTTAGTTACCTTAATCAAGCCTCGCACGCTTTTTAGGGGTATTACTGGGAATCACATCGTGTGAAATTGCTAGTTTAGTGAAAGGCGGAAGCGACGGCGACACTTATAGTTTAGATTTAGCTTTGGTGATACGTGAATTTTAGAAGCAATATTTCCTATGCTCTTCATGTTCAACTATGAATATAAATAGAGAATATTATAGGTGCGTGTTGATGTGGAATTTATCATCGAGTCTTCATCTCGATAGCTCACGAGTGAGCGTAGCGGACGAGTTGAACACGACCAAATCTTAAAAATTTAGTCGCCAAATTGGCCACTAGAATGTTTCATCATAACCTCATCAAGATATATAGTGAATTAAAAAGATTTGCAAAGATAAATCCGCTGCAAACTTCCTCGTTAAGTCTGTTTCCAAAACGCAGCACAAGCATCTCGATCGACAACTAGACGCCATCTTGAATATAGGCTTGAAGATTGTATATGATCCATCCTAGTGTCCACTTTGTAACATGTTAAAGATCTTTTCCTCAGGCTCAAGGTCATAAATAAGTTTGTAATTGGCCAAGTAATCACTGTGCCTAAAAGACTTCAAGTAATCATGATTAACATTTGTTTAAAAATGCATAAATTCAGTCCAATTTTTATGCTTAAATTCCAAATTGTCTAGAACCAGCTACCAGTATATAATTCAGGAGATATTCATTGACCTGCACATTAGACTAGCAATGAATTCCATGTTCAGCTTGTGTTTAGCAAAAATTTCTCATTGAATCTCCATTACTAATTTCCCATTATATTTTCTTCAATAATTCACAACTTTGTATAGAGTAATTGTCCATCGTATTTCATTAATGTATATGTAGAGTCAGTTGAATTCAAATTGTAACATTGCATTTGCAACTGAAGATGACACACGCAATGTCAAAACATGTTTTGCAAACTTACCAACAGGGTTCTTGCACATGTTTTCAACTTAATTTTTGATGCTGCATAAAGATAACTGTTTTAGAGCTCTAATGAGTGTGATAGTGCTACTGTAAATCTTGTTATCATGCTTCTGTTTTGTAACTTTCATGACTAGACATGTCAGTATACATTAAGGCCCACTAGTTTCTTCTGAGAATCCTAAACTAGTTTAAAAATCAATAACAGCCACAGCTTCTTTAAGCCAAAAGTCACAACAATCTGAGATCTTCATCGAGAGAAGTAAGGATGCTTGCAAATTTCAGGATCCCTTTCATAAGACCTTTACAAAAAATCAGCTTAATTTGCCAAGATGCTTAAATACTATTAAATATTTTATTATCACTTTTTCTTATTTTTTTTAAAATTTTCATTATTACTTTTATCATAATTTTTATTGTTATTTCCGTTGTTATTATTATTATTATTATTATTATTTTTACATTACTGTCAGTATTGTTACATTATCATTATTAATATTACTCAATTATCATCATAATTCCCAATATTATTATCATTATTCTTGTCATTAACATATAACTTATCATTTCCAGTATCCTTGCCTATGTTTTTGGCAAGCATTGCTAGTCAGATAGCTAAAATTGGAATGGAGTTTCAAAATTATAGTACAAGTGCCTTGGTGATTTTATAAATTATGAAACATTAAACTTAGAATGAAAAATCTGACTGATAATTTGCATTTACCATGCCAAGGTCAAAGTCTACCTAGTTTTCAAGATCTTTGTCTGTGTAGTGTTCTCGTTTCTTTTGCAAACTCAGAGGGAAGTGTCCAATTCAGTTTTTTTTGGCCAATTGATATTATGAATTTTTAGGCTTGCTGTCTGTTGTTTGCTTAAGCCTTTGGCTTTGAAAAAAAACCTGGAGCTCAGTTTTGATAATTCACGATCATCCAATAATTGCTCAATGGTTTAGTTTTTTTCTCTGCTCTTTGGAGAAAGTGTTATTTTACAACTTATCCATAGCATAATGTTTTATCTTGAGTCTTAGCGCCAACGCACCTTATAATTTTTGTTCAGGGATTGTCGATCCTTTTATTTTTATTCATATCAAAGTTGACATTTCTTGTCAGTAAAGGGCTGTTGTTTTTATATGTTAAATAAAATAGTACTTGGTGGCTTGTAGATATGAAATTTATGTTCTCACATCCAACTAGACATCTCACTCATGAGCTTTCGCGTTAAGCACTTGAAGAGAACTTATATATCTACACGCACCCATGTATTAGTCTCTACTTAAAACTATTTAAGTGAAGCTATTTTCTCATTATGACACAGCTCCAGACATATTCATGTGGGAATTTACCGGAGAGTATTGCAAGTGTTTACTGAGGCAGCCAGAATATGGGATGCTTATTGGATGGTTTTCCTGCCCAACTCACGATTGCAATAATGAGTGGGACAAACATTGGATAGCTGGCATACATTTTATGGAGAAGGTAACTCTTGAAAATCCACACTTCAATGCCTTTCTCAACGGGCCTTTACTTATCAAGAAAGTTCTCCCCGTGTATGATGGAAGATACTTCATCATGCGAGTGAAGACGGATACAGGAGCCAAGGCAAGTATTTACCATCGTAAAGTAGTACAAGGTAATGTTTACCTCTTAATTATTCTGTTTTATGTGTTGTCTCTATGCGTCCTTCTGTCTATTTTCTGTTTCAATGTAAAGGGAATTGGAGTCCTGACTTCTTAACCAATATTCATCATTTTTCCCCTTACCCGTTTCTAGAGCACCCACTTCTGACGCTGGTCAGTCAGCAAAATATCTATGCCTTTGAAGGGATGGATGTTTTTCTTTGAAGCTCAGGTGAAGGCCTACCCCTATCCATGGGTTTCTCTGAGTCATGTCTTGGAGTCACACGAAAGAGTAATACAAGAGACATCCAACGTCAGTTCTCAAAAACTAATGAAGATTCCAAGCATCACTAAGGCCAGCAGTGGTGACTATGTCCTATACGCTGAGAATACTGTGGGAAATGATACTCTCACTGTGAGGTTTTATGCGGAGGGTAAGTTCGTTCTACTCACTTGTACTCACTGATGTTGGATTCCTGGGTATAAATTTTCACGTAAGCAAAGAAATGCCACTTAAGTTCATGGAAAAGCCAGCTCTGATTACTAGATGCCACCAGAAGACCTTAATTTCCTAAAAAAAAACAACAATTTGTGGAACACTACACCAATAGTTTTTGGGGGTGTGGCTCACTTAACATTACGGCTCATACACAAGTTTTTACGGTCCTTTATTTATTTGCATTGGAGCCCTCTTGTTTTCAGCTAAGAAAATTATTTACCTATTGTTTAAGGATTGTTACACATTGAAAACCATGGCTGAGGTATCTATTGTGTTTTTTCCTGCATTTAGGCATGCCAGGCCGTTCATCTTCACCACCACCAGGTAAACACTGCAATCCGTACTTTCTCTCCCTGCTATTTCCTCCTCTTCTTTCTTTCCTCTTCCTTGTACATCGTTATTAAGGTAACTTCTTACTCTCATCTATGCTCGTATTTAATCGAGATATATAGGTTTTTATAATGATAAAATCTTATGTTTTATCTCCCATTAAGGTGACATCCCAACCTCAGAGGCTCCTAAACCTTCAGACTCTACTCCCTCAAGTATGTATGCCGTTTTTTTTGTTTGTTTGTTTGTTTGTTTTTTCCCCGAGGAAAAACAATACATATCAACACACATGTAAACGAGTTTCCTCTATAGCTGAATGACTGACCTCATTTATCTCTTCTGCTCCACCTGTTGCTTTTGTTGTTATTGTTAACCGTCGTATCGATTTTTCCAAATCATGAATGTGTTACTTTTAACCCATTGCAAAGATTTGTGATCTAAGCTTGGTTTTCAGAGTTTGATATATCTCACGTTTTATCCGAGTTATGCATTAGGGGAAGACGCTTGAATGCAACAGATTTCTAAACTTAAAAACGCTTTCCTGATTGAAGCTTTAAAGAGATTGTAGAATATGAGGTTTAAGTTCATGCATGGTGCCCCCCCAGGGGCTCTGTTATCAGGTTGAATGAGTATAATAAACTTACAGAGAATAATGACCTATTTATTCATAGATGAATGCAGCAACGATGTGAATTTTAAGACAGCATTCAGGAATCCAAGTGTCCGTGCGTTGGTAATTATTCTGGCGTTGATAATTATTCTGGCGGTGATAGGCATTGTCATAGTGTTGAGATCAGTTTTGTTCAAAACTTGTAATTGTCACTTAATCAAGGGAAGCAGTATAACTTGGATGTAAATGATAAAGAATGCAACACTACAGCTAATAATAGCAACGAGAGCATTGCCAAGGAGCAAACGGACAGCGCTGAAAATGTGTATCAGCTATTTGTTGCAGTAGTAGCATTCGACCGTAATCGTTGGGCAATTGCTCTTGGTGGAAAATATAGATGTGTATTCACGTACTCTTTTAAAGCAGTGAAATCTAGAGTGCATATGGCCTTAAACCTTAGTGTCGTTATTAGTTATATTTGCTACTCTAAAACGGTACTTTGCATGGATTGCGTTTCCGTTAATTTATTTTAATATATATATTTTATTTATTACTTATTTTTTGATCTTGTAAATTACTGAATCAGTGATACATTTCTTTTCAAGTGAGAAAAAAGAGTTTATGATGTCAGTAGGTTACAAGCTGTAAAACTGAAAGATTTCTTTAGCAAAAACTATTTGATTTTTTTATTTTTATTTTCTGTGGATGTCATGTCTATGTCCTATACTTTTTTTAACATATTCTTTGAATTTAAAGTGCATTTTACATCCTAAAGCCGCATTTTCCGCTGTGTGTTTGAATACTTATGAGAGGTTTTCGCCACAACAGCTACTTAATCAGATCAATTTTTTTTCAAAAATAACCGAAGGTAATTAGGGCTATTTGAACGGAATTAAATAATTATTAATGTGAATTTCATGAAACCGTCTCCGTGGGGAAATGGCTTTGACGACTAACGGTTAAAATTCGGGCCGTTTTGTGGACATCGATTTCTTTACTTCATTTGTGATTTCAAGAAAAAGTTTTATGGTTAACTCTATTTAACGGTTTAAATTTATCCACTTTTACGCCTTATGGCGTTAACTTAATTGAGACCCCCCCTATTAGAGATTAAATTAAGAAAGTATAAAAATTCTGTTTTTTTTTGTGTGTGTGTAAGAAGTTGGAAATAAAATTTGCTTATCTTGCATTTGTTTTGTTTCTTAAACTTTCTGTTCGCATCCTTGGGAGCTTGGATTTCGAGTTGTACTGCCAATGACAAGTTATTGTAAGCGAGCTGGTGGACTAGCCAATCCGAGACGTCCAAAAAAATTTCAAATCTCCATAGATGATGATGATAATAACGATAATAACAACTATTGTGATAATTATTATGATAGGAACGATAATTAGAATTATTATACTCAGCTCACTATCTCTTTTCTGATTGGCCGAAAGCGTAAAGTGAATTTTTGCAAAAATTATTATGCAAACAGTGGCATATTTCTCAAAACAGGATCACATTTAGCGTATTGGCCAAGGGTCCCTGAGAGAAAAAAAAAATTTCCCATGACTGACCGAGATCTTTAATTTTTGATTTGATCATTAGTCAGACCTCAGTACTAAAACCAGATTCCTACAGAACACGTTTAGTTAAACAGGATGATTGAAATCCTAAACAAAGAACTGATAAATTTGTTTTTTTCCGTAGAATCCAAGTAAGTCTCTAACTTGTTTTTTCAATGTGCTAAATTTGAAGTCGACAAACATGGATTGAGGCAGCTCATGAAGAAAGAAAATTTAAACTGCGTTGCTTTGGTGTGAATGGGATATAAGAAATATCATAATAAAGTTCGGGTATGACGCGCGCTTTCATTAACACAGGACGAAATGACATGTTTCCGTATTTCTGAAACGTGGCGGAAATATGCAACTCCATGTTTCCGTTATGTTTACGTAAAAGTGGTCCGGTTCCGCAACGGAAACGCGAGAAAACGTCACGAAACCGGTAACGGAAACACAGGTTATCCGTCGTGTTTTTGGAACGGTTTAACATGTTTCTGCCACGTTTCCGTTTACGGATTCTTGCAATTTCGTCCTGTGTAATTGGAAGAGCGTGCTCTATCAGATCTAGAGTACAACTACAAGGAGCTGAACTGAAGTTGTCACGCCATCTACCAATTTGTACTATGTCCCACCATTTCCCGAACTTCCCCCTAGCTCTTTCTAAATTGGAAGTGGAATCTTGGAACAAGCGAGTCGGCAATTAGCAGCAGAAGAACCAAACAAACGTTTGTAAATGCCTAGAGCCGTATTTGACGTTATCACATCGTGGAATCATTATTTTTAACCCAAAATTGTCAAGTCTCCGCCCTGTTTCCAGCATTCATTGCCGTGAGGAAGACAGTCCCTTTTTACGATCGATTTTGTGCCTTGCAGAAGAGCAGGAAGGTCGACTGGCCAAGAAGAGGATGCTTATGAAGTGACCACCAGGGCGTTTTTGCCATTCCTGGTACTACTTGAACCGAACTGAAAAAATGCTTCATATACAGGTTGAGATATTTCAGCTCAAACTCAAATTATTTGACGGGATGGTTCGACTTGTATTAAATGCATGCATGTGTTCTATCTTTTCTACTGTAATAAAGAGATTGATGCGTTTCCGAATGAAAACACCGTTTTAAAATTCCGCCAGCTTCATGTCATCGGGCCAAAGTCTCGTGCAAACATAACCCCGGTTAACCAATGAAACGAATAGATGAAATTCATTCATTAAACATGACGCTTTTCCTATTAAATAATCTTCTCCCCAACAGGGAACATACAGAGACCTTGTCAGCTTCTTGTATGAAACACTTGTTTTTATTATCACCATAAAATGAATAAATAAAAAAATAAAAAGGAAGATTCATAAATAGGTTAAAACATTTGAGATTCGTTCCTAAGAAAACACTTTCCAACCTCTTATCCCGTAAAATGGTCACTTAACTTAAAGGGTAACTGAGAATGTTGTGTGACTTTTTTGTTGTTGACGTCATCGCTAACCTTAGTTCATCATTCGACCTGACCAAGTAATTAAATTCACTTTTTCAGTCAACTCGTGAGCGACTGTCAACTGTTCGCCGAGTCGACATTGATTCATTTTGTAGTGGAGTTTCAACCTGATATGCACATTTCTTTGGGAATAATTCTTCTAAATGTCTTCTTTTCATCGAGCTTAATACTGAGATCCAAAGGTACGTTTATTAGAGCACTTAATTTGTTTTATGGAGCCTCAGAATCTACACGCTGTCCGACAGATTTGAATTACTTGTAACTATGGCGGCATAAATACTCTTTCGCAGCCGGAGAAGTCACAACAAGGACATGATTTCTCTGTTGATGTGGAATCTTTCTCGCCTTCGGAATGAATCGAAATTTAAAGCTCGTTTCTTTTGATTCGCGGGTGATTTTTTTTAAATTTACGAATGCTTGAAGTTTTATTTCCAAAGTATTGCCCAGCGTTAGTGAATGCGATACGCGCGATAAAGAACTCACTTGTGGAACTCATCATGATCAGCTACAAAAACACCTCTATCTCTCCTTAAAATAAACGGTATTTTTTGACATCATCAATAACTCTTATTGTCACAAAAATATTTGAGCTGACGATCGAAGTTGACCATAGAAAGCCTCTTTAATGTTATGTTAGTGTTTGGTTGTAAACGAGTCAAAGCAACAAGTTCTTCGGCGGCCTTTTCGATGCTTAATCAGTGCACAGAGAATTTTCAGACATATGTTCATCACTTATCCCAGCTAAGCCGGTTAGCATTGTTCTCGCCGGTTTAAATCTACGGTTCAACTCGCGTTTTGACACCTTCAATTTCTTATAAATCTTTCCTTATATAAATGTAACGTTTTAAATCAGCCAGCGTGTAATTATATGCAAGTTTTTAAAAAGAAGCTCACTGAACACTCCAGATATAAAATTAGTTAATAATGGAAGTACTGATAATATTAATGAGAATGATATTAACAGTTCTTAAATAAACTCTTTAACTCCAAGGTTGAAATTTTTAATTCTCTTAGCTATCAACTGTACAATTCTTATGATATTCGTTCAGAATATTTAGCATTAGATCAACTAATTATCCCCGAATTGTTATTTTTCTTTATTCTCACCACTTATCTGGTTGATATTGTATTGATATTGTGAGGAGAAATTCTGTCTTGGTCACTCATCGGGGTTTAAGGATTAAAATAAAAACTGAAAAAAAATTATATCACCTTTTTTTATAGGTGCTGAGCTTGAGGTTACAGTAAAACTTCACGAGAGGTACTTGCTGGCGTGCAGTGCAGTCAGCGATCCAGAAAGTGTTAAACATATCGGTTGGTACCGCTGCTCTAAAATTGATTGTGAACAACACTGGGACGAGTTCCTGATAGCGCATGTTCAAAATATGACAGAGACAATTCCCAATAACCCAAATTTTGAGGTTTACACCAACGGCACCTTAGTTATCAAGAAGGTACTACCTGTGGATGATGGAAAAATATTTATCTGCGTTGCCGAAGAGAGGCACATAGGGAGAAAAAGGTCTACGACGATCCTCCATATAGAGAAAGGTGATGTTTATATAAGTGTTATATAATGATGATAATAGTAACAATAATGATAATAGTATTCTTAAAAACAACAATGGGAATTAAGCAGTGGACAATCCTAGTGGTGACTTTTATTGGTCACGGTTTCCAGTTCTAAATGACATTTGGAATGTTGATGACAAGGGGGTAAGGATAATTGGAGAATCCTGAGAAAAAATACGGAACAAGGACGAGAAACAACAGAAACCCTCTCGTGACGTCAGAGGTCCATTTATTGAGGGTCCCGGTAGCTTGAGGTGCCCGTAAAATGTGCTATTTGAAACAGGTTTACAATAAGACTGTCAGCTATAGAAAAAAATTGGACTGGTGAGTGTACTAGAATATGCTTCTCCGTCCTTTAAATTTTGATTTTAAAACATGGCTTTTGGCTATTAAAGTTTCCGGGACTTTCGAGAAACGGGCGCCACTTCGCCATCCCCACTCCTCATTTTCGTTTATTTAATCTTATCACTTCGGATGCTGTTTCTTTGCATCTTTGATTTTCTTTTCTGTCGCTAGAGGAATACGAAATTCCTTACAGTAGTTAGATAATTTTGATTTTCTTTAGAGCCCCCACAATTTATACCAGAGAGTCCTCGGGAGCCCCGTGTGATGAAAGGAATGGATCTTCATTTGGCTACTCGAGTTCAGGGGTATCCTTACCTCTGGTTAGCTTGGAGCCAATATGAGGTTCTCCTTCACAATACAAAGACCATCCTGGGAGATCCAGGGCTGTGAGTCGATTTCAAGCCAGGGGCTCTTCCATCTTGACTTGAAATCGACTCACATCTCCCGGGTCTCTGAGGATGACTGAAAACATACGAGTGATCGAAAAAATTGGACGACCATAAGAAAGATTTAAGACAGAAACTAGCCACCGGTTCTACGTCTTCAATAAAAATGCACGACAACAGCAAATGCACGTGACGCGTTTTGTCCAAAGTCCAGTTCTTAGTACTGCTAAAATCGGGCTGACGAGAAACAGTCGCGTTGGAGAATTCTCTCATAATTCTAATTGCAATGATGACAATGTGATTATTATAAAGGTAAAGAAAGTAATAATGATAATTATCATAATAATTATTTAATAATACTGATAATGACAGTAATATCTAAATCTAGCGCTTAAAATCGGTCAGCGCGTAATTATATGCAAGTTTTTAAAAAGAAGCTCACCGAACACTCCCGATAAAAAAATGGGAGAAAAAGACAAGTACTGATAATGATTTTAAGAATGATATTAACAGTTATGATATTAAAATAGAAAATGAAAAAATTATATTACCTTTTATTTGATAGGTGCTGAGCTTCACGTTACAGTAAAGCTTCACGAGAGACACTTGCTAGCGTGCTCTTCATTCAGAAATCCAGAAAATGTTAAACATATCGGTTGGTACCGCTGCTCTAGCCATGATTGCGAACATGACTGGGACAGGTTCCTAATAGCGCATGTTCAAAATATGACAGAGACAATTCCCAATGACCCAAATTTTGAGGTTTACACCAACGGCACCTTAGTTATCAAGAAGGTACTACCTGTGGATGATGGAAAAATGTTTATCTGCGTTGCCGAAGAGAGGCACATAGGGAGAAAAAGGTCTACGACGATCCTCCATGTAGACGAAGGTGATGTTTATACAAGTGTTATATAATGATGATAATAGTAGTAATAATGATAATAGTATTCATAATAATAACAATGGGAATTTAACAGTGAATAATCCTAGTGGTGACTTTTATTGGTCACGGTTTCCAGTGCAACAGGACATTTGGGTTTTTTTTTGTTTTCATCTAAACCTACTGCTGTTTCAGAGAAAAGCCACACACTTACTCAGACGATTCCAATTTTTTCCTCTGTATCTAGGCCAGCCGGTGAGGACAACTACAGGATTAGGTAGGTTCTCCCGCTCTTTAACCTTTTCAGATGACCCAAATGTTATGACCGGGAACTACCTTGGCATATAATACAAGTTTTTTTTTACCTCTTTAAGATATGGAGAGCTAGGCAAAGTATAGAAGTTATTCACTTTGCCGCTCTGTTTCTACTCTTAGATATCCAAACTCCATCATCTTCACCAATATCAGGTGAGTACAATGTGTTCTTTTTCAGTTTTGGAGAAAATTTTAACTGACTTTGTCCAAACTTTCATTGGGACTGCATTGACTTTTATCAATCCTATCTTTCACAATTAAGTAGCTATTTACTACGCTGCTCTGTTTCTAGCCTTAGATATCCAAACTCCATCATCTTCGCTAACATCAGGTAAATACAATGTGTTCTTTTTCAATTCTCCAAATTTCAGTTTGGAGAAACGTTTAATTGAGTATGTCCAAACTTTTCATGGACTGCATTGATTTTTATCAATACTTTCTTCCACAATTAAGAAGTTATTTACTTTTCCACTCTGTTTCTACCCTTAGATATCCAAACTCCATCATCTCCACCAACATCAGGTAAGTATAATGTGTTCTTTTTCAATTCTCTCAGTGTCAGTTTTGGAGAAAATTTTAACTGAGTGTGTCCAAACTTTTATAAGACTGCATTGAATTTCATCAATCCCTTTTTTACAGTTACGAAGTTATTTACTTTGCCACTCTATTACTACCTTTAGATATCCCAAATCTATCATCTTCACTAACACCAGGTGAGTACAGTATGTTTTTTTTTTCAATTTTCTCAATGTCAGTTTTAGAGCAAATTTTAACTGTGTCTAAAATTACATAGGATTGCATTGAAATATCTATTACTGGTATTCGTTTATCATCGAACTCAACTCTAGCATGTCTCAAAGCCTCACTCGTGGAATTGAATGTGACCTGATTCCCACCGCTTCTCTCTTCACTTCCCTCCATTTCAGTACACCTCCTCATCCATATTCCTACTTACATCTTATCCCTCTAATGAAAAAAAAAAATTATAGTCGATCCTGTGTCGAGCGGTCACCCACGGGGAATGGCAGCGTGACCGCTTGATACAGGTGAACCGCTATGCAGGTTCCACAGAATAGGGTATTATGAAAAACGATGAAAAGATGCCATTGTATGCCACGATTGACCACTTTATGCACAGAAACTACCTCATAAATATAATTGGTTTTATCTGGGTGATTCCACTTTAAGTTACCGTTCAATACAGGTGGAAGACAATACAAAAAGGTCTTTGGGACACAGTTAAGAATAGCCACGACTGCTTAATAGAGCTGAACGCTCTGTAGAGGTGAAAATTACAGTAATGAAGGGGTAACGATTTCGGGACTTTGACAACTTACCGCTTTATGGGTGATAAGGAGAATGAAGCCCAGTTTAAAGAGAGATTGGGTCTGAAAAATATTTGACGCTAAATAAATGAAGAAATGGAGAAATAGAACCTGTGATAAGCGGTCACCCACAGGGAATGGTAATGTGACCGCTGCATACGGGTTCCACAGAATAAGATAATATATAGATTTAGTTAAGCCTAAAGGCGGAGCTCTTGTTAGTTTATTTTCCAGCCCTTCATTATACTGAATAAAAACTTAATAAAAGTCTTCAGCACTGGCGGGGGAAGATTTTCCTCAAGGGAACCAGTTCAGGGGTGGGGAGGTGGAAGAATTGACAAAGTATGGAACCTAGGGACGATGTTCTCACAACTTACAATGCGATCATCATGCATGGTAGTCAGCAGTATCTTCAAACAGCTTAGCACCTTCGTCGTAGTTCCTAATGTTTTGAGCAAATTTTCGGAGACAGGGAATGTTTTCTTTTTCAGATGAAGTGTATGATGTCAGCATCAGTTAAAATGATATTCTGCTGCGCGTAACTTCTGATTTCGGTTTGAGAAATTGCGCCCAAATTGAAAGAAACGACGGTAAACTACTTTGCGTTAAGACATCACTCAGTCTGGTCGATTGAAGTGTATACACTTGAGCACAGTGAGACATTAAAACAATACGCCAGAATCGTAGGAGCTTCTCTTATATCTTCTCTTGAAGTTGCCCACTGTTTTTCCTTAACGTTTCAACCTTCTCTGTTTAGCGTAGAAAATTAAGAGTAAAGTAATTTCCAACTCGTGCTTGGACCTTTAATATTTTTTCAACTTTTTCGCTTTCGGTTATTCTTGTTCTTTCGGTTATTCTTGTTCATGGTTGTCCTCTGGCTGGAAATACACGACGTCTTTTTGAGATTTTTTTCTGTTATTTAATTCGATAACCTCTGCTGTAACACCACAGAATGTGGGTCTCTCTAAGAAAACTTGAGATAATACCAGGATTTCATTTTTACATCACAGAAATCAATTCCGAATATCAATCAAGTTTTCTCTTTAGTTCAAAAGCTGAATTGGTGTTTTTATTGGCTATATTAAGTATGTTGAAAAGTTTTAGAATGTTTTTTCTCATGTTTGCAAATAATTGAATTTACTAGAAGGTAGAGTTGTTGCAACATATTGACATGAAACGCAACAATAAATTTTATTGATGTGTAAAAAGTTTTCACTCGACTATCTACCGGCAAGTCTTTGAGTTATACATTTTCCACAACTTAAAAACACTGTTACAAAGTAATTATTTAGGGAAATGGAAAACTTTTGGCGTATACACCATGTGGGAAATACCATGTCCATTATAAGCTGTCAGGATTGAGGAGGGCGTATGTGGAAATAGGTTCTCTTGTCTGTTTCATTGATTTGCTAATCGTTCCTGTTGGCAATGTTTTGATGAAGTTGGGTTGTCAGGGCAAAAAAACGGAGGATTTAAGTAGGCAGTGACTTTTTTCAAACTTGGAAACTATCACCGTGAAAGCCATACTTGTGCCTGGTAACTCATTCTTACTCTGGTAAACTAGTTTTAAGAAGGATACAATTTTTATTTCATAAATTTGATGCATAGGCTGTGCAAAAAACTTAAATTTGATTAAACTTTTAGAGCTAATACCAGTCCCTTCACATCATGAAATGTTAGGAGGATCAGAGGAAAATATAACGTGCCATACATCTGAAAAATTTCATGAAATTGTTTTAATTACATGAACATTAACTGATATTAGGAGATCTAACAATATTCAAAGAAAATAAAATTTGGTTGAAAAATTAGAATTCAGTATAGGCCGGATAAACAAGATTCTTAAAAAAAAAGAAATGTGTATTAATGAAAAAGTTAAGCAAACTTTTTAAAAACATTTACCTGTACCTGTAAGGCACGTAGTAAAGTCTTCTGAAGTAGTCATAATCCCGATTTCATATGTTGAAAACACATGCACATGCAGATTTCCTAAAAACCTGGAAATTTAGCCTGTGATGAATTCGAAATTTTGATGTGTTCCTCAAAAGGAGAACAAATACATTTGAAGTTCCTATTTATCCAGTATAGGTTAGTGGGCTAAATTGAGTCAAACATTGAGGTTATACAGCGACAGGTTCAAGAAATTTCCACAACTAATTTTTAAAGCTAGACCACCAGGAACAATCACCTTCACGCACAAATTAGACCAGTTTGTACTGATGATGCTCAAAAGAACTATCTGTGGTAGGGGGGAAGGCTTTCCTTTCTTTATTTAAAGAAATACTGGGGTTATCATCTTTCCACAAGCTCAGTGGAAAGTGAGAGTGAATGAGACTGATAGCAACTATGTTATTTGAATAAATATCCAGAGGAGGATAGAAAGTAAGATATGGTGTGCACAACTCTCTTATTTTAATTTTTTAATTAATTAAAGGCAGTTATATCATTGCTTTGTGCATTACGTGGACGCCAATTAATTTAACTTTCATGCGTCAAAATACGAAAAATATTCTCTTATCTATGTGCCCTAAACATTTTAGAGCAGGAGGCAGGCCAAAGTAAAAACATGAGTTGAAATGGCAGGGCCTCATTAATTGCAGTCCCGATTGAAGGAAGATTCTTTTTTTTCCAGATTCCCACATATCTTGTGACCAATTCCTTATATCGATGTTTAGTCATTCTAAATATCACAAATCAATCGTGCCACCACTTCAGTGTGATTGATTTGATGATGTCTACTTTTTCTTATGGAAATTTATTTTTAGTATCTATCTTTTGGCAGCTGACATCTGAGAAGATCAAGCCCACACTAGCAATTTGACACATTGCAGGCAAACCCTCTTACTAATTAAATTTTATTTGATCGAAAACATGAGGGGCAATACAGGAAATTAGCTAGCACACTTCAAGTTTCCCTTCTTAAGTATTCCGTGATGTTTTTTCTTTCATATGGTAAGGTTTACAGTTTCCCTCATTTCACTGTCTTCTGTTCATTTTTTGTTTGCTTTCCTGACAAGTTTAGCTATTGTTGCCAACAAATGCGCGGAGCATATAAAATGTGTACAGTTATTAACACTTTAATCTCTGAGAGTGACTAGCATCTAATTTCTCCTCTCAATATCACCCTTGAATCAAACATTAAGGTCATGAGAATAAAGGAAATGATTATCAACTGAAGAACCCCTGATTGTCAAACAAATTCTTTTTTCCAGCACACTGGGAAATGTATAGAGAACGGTATGGAGAATATGCATATTGATGTTAGGATGTAAAGGGTTAAAGACCTCATGTAATCAGTTGTATATATGTAGGGTATTGCTTGAATATATGATTCCGATAAGCGCAATTGCCTAGTAAAGATCATTCCATGGTCTTCTACTCTTCCACCTCGGAGGGTGCCTTGTGTACATAAAAATTAAAGTTCAGTGCCTTCAGTAGCTTTTCGGGCTACAAAAATCAACAAAGAACAACAGCCACACCTAAAACTCTTTTTAAAGACACCTTTACAATAGTGGGTACACACAACTGACATGTATAAGTGAAGCATGTCAAGCACTAAGGTATGATTGTCATTTTGCTTTTATTACTTGCAAACAGCTTATTTCTATGAGCTTTGAAAACTTCTGAATCCCCGCTTTCAAAGAAAGCATTTCCCATGAAAATTTAAACATTGTAGGCATAAGCTACCAGCAACAGCTTTTTCCATTAAAAGTGTTTCACAACATCAGATTCTCGTCACATTTTTTTGTTACGTTTGAAAGCATCGCGTTGCTCTTAGCTATATATTCGCCTTTTTACTTTATGCCCTTCCTTGTTCTCTTTCGCGTTCCTCTCGCCGTATTCTGCCCATTTTGGCGTCCGTACTCAATTTCTTGCACGATTTTCTCGACTCGCTTTACGCCGTTTACTTGTCGGTTTCTTTGGTCGCTCTGTCTTTCTATCCAGGAACTTGAATTATAACAATTTTCTCCCGTTGACTAAGCTTTAGTTCTGCCGATATTGTTGCCTTGCGAGATGATTAGAAATTGTTAAATACTAAGCATGACTGTTCATCTACAATCTCACCAGTTTGATTTCCCACTCAAAGCGCGGGTGGCGAATTATTTGCTTACGCGGTATCACATCTACTAGCCCAAGTGAAGCCCTCGTGTGATACCTAACCGTGTGCCCGCATTACGCTGCACTAAAGCTCGACGGTATCCAGTCACCTCGCCACCAAGCAGACTCGCCACCAGCGAACTCGCCACCAAGGAACGATCTCGCCACCAACGTACTCGCCACCAAGCGAAGTCTTCTCGCCACCAACCACCAATAAAGAGATTAGTCGAGGACATTAGGATGTTCGGCTGATAAGTCTGTACTCAAACTTTATAAACGTATGTTGTCAAAAGCACGTTCGCATTTAGTTTTAATACAACTGCTATCGAGTTTCATTTCATCACTTATTTCTTCCCATGAAGTTTCATTTTCTCTCAAGTAAGTTTTTATTCCTCGCATCGAGTTCTGCAATTTCTCCTCGCTTACGTGCAAAAGACAAACACGATACGTTTCGATGTCAATGAGTTAGGAACGCAACACATCTAACACGTCGCTGAAGGTCATAATTTAAATACAGACAAGCGCACAAACGTATCGGCCGATTTGAATTGTGCTCGTTCGAACATCCTACTCTCCTCGACTACTTTATTCTAGTTTATCTCTTTATTGGTGGTTGGTGGCGAGAAGACTTCGCTTGGTGGCGAGTACGTTGGTGGCGAGATCGTTCCTTGGTGGCGAGTTCGCTGGTGGCGAGTCTGCTTGGTGGCGAGGCGACCGGTAACCAGCTCGACACTCGAGTATGCGCACCTCATTGTCATCTGCCGGTATCTCCTGGCGCACACTAATGGGGTATCCGAGGTACGCAAGCAATCACCGCTGCGCAGTACCTTCTTCATCGCCCTTCCATTGCGTAATGGCCGAGATAGTTCCCGCGGTACAGTTGGCCTACAATTTCGTAAAATTATGGGGCTACGCTGCGCGCGCTGCGGGCTCCGCTATTACGAAAAACGGTTAAAAAACATGCCATTTTACGACATGATTGCCCACTTTATGTGCAAAAACCACCTCATAAATACAATTGCTTTCATTTGGATGGTTCCACATTAAGTGACCGTTCATTACAGGTGGAAGACAATTCAAAAAGGCCGCGGTTGGGACTAAGTTAGAAAATAACCACTACCGCTTAATAGAACGCTAAGTAGAGTTGAAAACTACAGTAATATACGGGTAACAGTTTCCGAATTTTGACAAATTACCGCTTAAAACCGGGTGATAAGGAGAATGAGGCCCAGTCTAAAGAGAGACTGGGTCTGAAAAATCTTTGACGCTAAATAAATGACGAAACGAAGAAATACAAGATTGAAATTGACGATGAATGCTAAGACTTTAATCCGTCATGAACTATTTACTTGACTGCTATTAACTTAAGAATTTCAATTTTCCATACTAAAGGTTTTATATTTTACAACCATGTGTTTTTGTTCTGTCTTGTAGGGAGCTCAACTCTCCCTGGAGGGGTTATTGCTGCAATAGTCATCTGTTGTTTAATAGCCATAGGAGTCATTGGCCTTCTCATAAAAAAGTGTATATCAAAACGGAAGAAAAGACAGGCTGTACTGGAGACGCCTATCCAGTGGACAGGAAAGGTGTAAATTGTAACGAACTATGCTATTGCTATTACCCGAATATTTTGGGAAAGTGTGAAAAGGCATTTTTACCTCTCTATATTTAGTAATTTCTTCACTAGCTCTCGTCAGGTCATAAGAGATTATGAACTGTTTGTATTCTCAGCACTCGTCTTTCATTATTCATTTTAACTAAGAAAAGTATAATAATGTGCGCATCAGGTGCAAATATGTAAGGATTTTTGTGCATAGAGGAGTACAATTTCTTTTGGTAATTGAATTGAGTGGAGTACAGCTTAGTCTGAAACCATACGCGTGATATCATAAACTCTAAGCGCGAGTTTGATTTAAATCACAAGTATGATTTCATATCAAAATTGCAAGACACGAAGTTTAATTACCATTTTATTACTGTTTATTTCTGTACAAATATTTTCTTGATCCTGTCTTGTAAACTGATTTATACAAAGGTGTAAAAGTTGTCCCTCATTTCCCTGCAATTTGATTGGTTTCTTTCAGCAAGCCTTGAAATTTGATTGGCTGTCGTGTTTTAGAAAAGTTGGGAAGAAAAGATGCCATTAAGAGCATAATATAATGCGATTTGTGAATAAATTGCATTAGAGAGAGTCAAACAGATTGCAAGGATCACAAGTGATTTGAAAATGGATAGAATAAACAGTAACTGGGCGAGGAGTTTCAAATTGGCCAAGTGCATAGCACGAGGCTGATTAGAAATCACGAGCACGATTAACCCTAATTTGAGTGAGAAACATATGAAATAAGACTGTTAGGACTTGAAAAGCCACAATAGGGGCTGTCAGGAACCACCAAGAGAATACCAGTTTATTATCTCTTGGAACCAATCAAATTCGAGCATATTAATATTGACTCAATTACCCGCTACAGTGTTTGGTTATTTGGACCGTTGGTTATTTTGTACTTGAAAAAAACCTGTATGACAAGTCGAGTACGCTAAGTTTGAAAATGTAGCAAAGGAACATAGAAATTGGATTGTACCATTTTTAGCGAAGGGATCCCGTGACAACATCAACTAAGCAAAACAAAACAAGTCGGTGTCAAAAAAAGTGGAATGGATTTTCTTTCCTTTTCTTTTTTTTTTTTTTTTTTTTTTTTTTTTTTTTTTTCAAACCTGGCACTCAGTGCTCTGTGGGCCAAGGGTCATCTTTATTTTCGTTCCGTCAAACGTTTCATATACCTGTCAGTCTTTTAAAAATAAAATCGCTATCTTTCGAAGGAATTATCAGTCATAGATGGTGGAAAGCACAAGCATTGATATGTTAGCTGATCGCAAATAATACGACCCTCAAGGGTAACTCTCATGATAAACCCATAAATATCGCGTCTGTCCGTGAAAATTTAGAGCAACTTTGAGCAGGAGGGGATAAAAACCTTGGAGGAACTGAAGAGCAATTCTACCAACTGCTTTGCTATCGAGTTCGACCTAATTCAAAGGACAGGAAATGGGTCTATTTAGGGATCGAGACTCAAGATTGAAAAAAATAACGCCGATCAAAGCAGCTAAGAGTACACTACCGACAAAGTCTGTCCTTTTATCGGCTATTTGTTTGTTTTGTTTCCTCAAGGCAAGTCACGCAATGAGCTCATCCATACGTGACAGGCGAAAAAGATGGCTACAAAAGAAATTAACAAATCAAAACAGAGCTCTAAAGTATATTTTTTTAACATCAATCGCCATAATATTGTTAACGTAAGTTTGTATACCAATTTACTTCTTTTCTAAGCTAGGCACATGATCGCTTCCCCACTGTCAAATGAGCGGATATTCCAAAAACTAGACGGCGCGTGCTCTTTCTCGGAAAAGAAGGAACTGCAGATTCGTCGAAACTGATATGGATCAATGTTATTATTTTAGTAAAGATCGTCACTTCACGAAGCCAAGGAGCATCAAGAATGAGGCTTATCGGGTTTTACGTCCCATTCTATCTATTTTTCGTGCCAGCTCTCGTAAAAGGTAAGTTCAGTCATAAAAAAACGTAGATCAAGCGTCGAACGCTTTTAAGGGGTATTGTGGTGTATGTGGTGTGGTGTCACACCGTGTAAATTTTCAAGTGGATAATTGCTGGTTTAGCGAAAGCGGAAGTTTAGATTTAGCATCGGTGAGACGTGAATTTTAGAAGCAATACTTCCTATCTTCTTCGTGTTCGGCTATGAATATACATAGAGAAGAATATATGGCTCATGCTGATATAGAATTCTCCTCGAGTGTTCAACTCGATAGCTCACGAGTGAGCTTAGCGGACGAGTGAGATGCCGAGTTGAACACGAGAAGTGAAAATTAACATCTACAAGCAACCATGTATTAATTTTTTTATCATATAAACACAATAGCCCTTTACTGACAAGAAAAGTCGACAAAAGGCTCAAGATGGAAAATGCGTTGAATCATGAATACAAAAACAACAATTGGCGTAATTTTCAATTTACAAAATTCTCATTTAATGACTTTGTCCTTACCGACAGAAGAAGTCTTTCGGGTAAACGGCCAAAATCGGTCTGTGGCAAATCTTCCATTCATCCAGCTTCGTTCTAAGCCGCGAGAAATGCCATCACCAAAGCCACTAGATACGTAACTTACGGTTTTCATTTTCGTATGTTGGTTTTCTTATCCTTCTAGGAGGTTCTGACAAACTACCTAGTATCGAGAATCTTGAAGGCTTTTCAGTTTATTCATCAACTGACCTGACCGAGTTTCGCGTGTGCTGTTACAACTTTTTTCAGGGCCGGAAATCCTTGTGAAGCACTTTTGTTCAGTTATATGATAAACGACATTTTTACGCAGACAATCTCTAAATAATTATTGGCTTTACCGCGTGTAGGGGCTCTGTGACAAGATGTTTCTGTTTAACAAATAGATTCCAAGTTGCCGTGCGTCTGTTCAGTAATAGATCACAGAGGACGTCAAAATGTGGTAAGAACAAAAAAGTGGCACACGAGGCGTAGCCGAGTGTGTCACTGATGTTCTTACCACATTTTAACGTCCTCTGTGATCTATTACTGAACAGACGCACGGCAACTTGGAATCTATTTGTTTTATATAATAAAGAATTTAAAAAAGTTTTAATGACGTCATCTATACGTGTGTCCTCCAATAGATCATAAGTGAGAACCAATCAAAACGCGTGCATAACTGAGCTTATTATATAGAGAAGAATGGTTTTTGAATAAACTTCGGCAGAGAGTTGGTTCAACTACTCAGACAAATTCACTGACTGATGCTCTGAAGTTAAAGCAAAATTCGCGATTCGAATTATATGATTCGATTTGTTGCCGCTCGTACCTCTCAATTATGACCTTGACTTTCCCCAATGAATACAAGTTGTATTTGAATTATAATTTTTGCTTTCGTTCATGGTCGATGTAGCTCTATGACGAGATAAATCCAGTAAAACATGGATCTTCTCGGAACAAAACGAGAGAGGGAGGTTAACTTACCCTCTAATAGCCTTTAACCGTGACTCCCCCAAAAATAGCCTGTTTATTTAAACTATAAAAAAATGTCTTAGATAAATGACCCAGACAAACTTAATAGGATAGGGGAGAAAGGTTACGTGTACAGAAACAACGTTAAATATAGTAGCCTTTTATTTTCAATTCTGACAAGGTTTAAGTACCATCCAACCGAGACAGTCCAGTGCTACAAGGACAGAGGGGGCAAGTTTTCTCTTCGAATGGGATTTTCATCTTCAAGATGAGGACAAAATAGAACTAACAGGGTTCATTTTTGGCCTTTGGATGGATGGTTATACCACGCATTATCTTATGACGGTAACCAAGGAGGGAAGAGTGATTCATAATCCTCAGTTGAGCAAGAAACATCCTAGTTACGTCGGGCGAGTCACTTGGGCAGGAAACATATCAAAGTCGTATTTGGCCTATAAGTTGGAGAATCTGACTTACTCGGATAGCAACACATACGGATGTCAAATTGACGTGGGAGGTTTCCGACGAACAATTCATTCTATGATCACTTTAAATGTCCAGGTAAGATTCTGATGTAAACCTTAACGCGCTTCTGGGTATATGTACGATTGGACCTTCCCTTGCTAAGCCTTTAAGGCGCAATCGTACATATCTACACGACCACTCACTTGCCCCAAGGAATGACCCCTCATTTTCATGTGGAAAGCTGGGATCAAGTGAAAAAATTGTTACGGGATACCTTGTTCGTGGCAGCGGTAATTCTTATGCAATTCAGGGTCAAATTGTTTTTTTTTTTCTTTGACTTTCCATGTTCGTGTTTTTAGTGGCAATTTAAAACTTGCAGCGCAAAATTTTTCTGACGAGGAGGTTTGGAAAGTGCGCTCAAAATTTAGGCACAGTCTCCACACGGTTTTAACGCTTCTATCATCAAAAAGTTCATATGTTTTAGAAAACTATCTATTTAAGTTCCCATGAAAAGAATCTGAAAATTGTGTGAAAAATACCATCCCTTAAGCATTCTTTTTTCACCTGCTTTGAAACTTGTTCTTAAAGCTTACCTTGGTGTTAAACATGATATCTGTGACAGAAAACAAATGCATGAGAAGTTAGTACCGGTTGATGTACATTATTGGTCATGTTACTCAGTGTTACGACCACCATATCTTGATAGCTTGCATATCTAACAGGTTATTGTCTTAGCAAAATATTCTATCCACTCAAAGAAGTTCGGGATATAAAATTAGCTTTACCACTCAGCTCACTTTTAATCAAAATCTGTTTGAGTGCCGTTAGGTTCAGATAACAGCTCAATCAAAGAAGGAAAGAGCTATTATACATATCACGTTCCACGAGCACGAAACTGGGAACAAAGAGAACAAAGAGAGACCGTCAAACGGTGATTCATGTCGTCTCGTCGTTCCTTCCCTGAGCCGATTTTCCGGGGAAATTATCTTAGATTTGCGCGTCATTCGATTATGTGGTAGAAGAGCTTTGTTAATATCTGTTACTTTGTTTTTTGCCTGTTTTT